GCACTCTTCCCACCCCAGTCCCCCTCCCCCGCCCCCCCTCCCGTCCCGTGGGACGGCTTTGGAGGGGCAGGGGCAGCTCTGACCAAGGCCTCTGCCAGGCCCCCCACCCCTCCCTCACCCCATGGGGCCGGGCAGCTGACCCCACGCCCACCCCCAGCTGCCGGGCAAGCGGGGCTTCGGCTCCGTGGGCTGGACGGTGCAGGCCAAGCTGGAGCTCTACCTGTGGCTGGGCCTGAGCAAGCAGCGCAAGGACTTCCTGTGCGGCCTGCCCTGCGGCTTCGAGGAGGTCAAGGCAGCCCAGGGCCTGGGCCTGCACGCCTTCCCGCCCATCAGCCTGGTCTACACCAGTGAGTGACGGCCCCTGGGCCTGGGCCGCCCCTGGCTCCCAGCCCCGGCCCCGGGAGCCTCAGCCTGCTCTACCCCACAGAGAAGCAGGCGTTCCAGCTCCGGGCCCACATGTACCAGGCTCGCAGCCTCTTCGCTGCCGACAGCAGCGGCCTCTCGGACCCCTTCGCCCGCGTCTTCTTCATCAACCAGAGTCAGTGCACGGAGGTGAGGGCCCGGGGCAGGAGGGAGTGGCTCTGCTCTGGAGTACTGGGGAGCCTGTGAGTGTGTGGGACCTGGAAGAACAGATCAGCCAGCACCCCAGATCCCTGGAGGACAGCCTCGCAGATGTCTGCAGGCCCCCACCACACTGGTAAAGGCTTTAATTGTGGTTGCATCCACCACAGAGGAAAGGAAAGACATGGGGGTTGGGAGGGGCCTTGGGACCAACATGACACCCCTTTCCCTGGAGTCCCTGGAAGCTGCGGCCACTGGGGGTGACTCGTGCTCATGTATCTGCCCGCACCTCCCCCCACCGCCCATTACCCACCGCCCCGCTGCCCGGTGCCGCAGGTGCTGAATGAGACCCTGTGCCCCACCTGGGACCAGATGCTGGTGTTCGACAACCTGGAACTATATGGCGAAGCCCATGAGTTGCGGGATGACCCCCCCATCATCGTCATCGAAATCTACGACCAGGACACCATGGTACGGGTGGGCTCCAGAACCAGGGACCTACGCCTTCGTCCCTGCGTTGCACCTACCTCAACAGCCACCTCCGGCTGTCTGCACCCAGCACCAGGGTGCTTGCCGGGAAGCTGGGGTGGGGGCGGGTCAGCAGCCACATGTCTCCTGCCCTGTCCCTGCCGGCCAACCCCTTCCCGATGCCGTGGGCCACCGGGATCTCAGGGAGGAGCTGGGCCAGGGTGTCCCTACCTCCTGCCACAGACTGGCCCAGCTCAGGCCCAGAATCACCAGGACATCTGCCAGCAAGGCCTGGTACCACCAGCCTGCCCACGTCCCTGGGCCCCTAAGCCCCCTGCCCACACCTACTGCAATCAGCAACGGCCCCACGGCTCTCCGTGGGAGCTCTGGATTGGGCAAGCAAGGATTGAGGCGACCCCTGCAGAGCTGGGGAGCCACCGCTCCAGCTGCTGGGATACCCCGAGAGCCCTGAACTAGACGTAGGACGATCTCACTGCCAGTCCCAAGTCTGCCATTCGCTGCCAGCGTGGCCTTGGCCGAGTCTGCGGTGGGCCCTAAGGCCTGGCGTCCCCATCTGTAAAATGGGGTGGTCGCACCCGCCCCTCAGCTGCCGGGGCTACGGCGAGGACTGACCGGGATCCCAGGCGCGAACGTGCGCGGTCAACTCGGGACCTGGGAGGCCACCTCGGTCATTTGTCCCGTCAGGGCAAAGCCGACTTCATGGGCCGGACCTTCGCCAAGCCCCTGGTGAAGATGGCGGACGAGGCGTACTGTCCACCCCGCTTCCCACCCCAGCTCGAGTACTACCAGATCTACCGCGGCAACGCCACTGCCGGGGACCTGCTGGCTGCCTTCGAGCTGCTGCAGGTGGGGCCGCGGGGAGGGGGGCCAGGGCCGGGGGCGGCTATCCTCCCCGTCCCGCCGCGAGGCCGGCTTGACCGAAGCTGGTGGTGGCCCGGGGCATCAGGGGCCCAGGGCATCGGCCATTTCACCTGTCAGAGAACTCACGGGGAAGGAGAGTGTGATACTGTGACTCCCATTCCCCAGATTGGGCCTGCGGGGAAGGCAGACCTGCCACCCATCAACGGCCCGGGGGACATGGACCGAGGTCCCATCATGCCTGTGCCCGTCGGCATCCGGCCCGTGCTCAGCAAATACCGAATCGAGGTGTGTGAGGGCTCCGTCGGGGTCCTCCTGTCCCTGCCCTGGACAGGCCCTGCCGTGTTCTGGCTTCCTTGCCCCCTTGACTCTCTTTCCAGCAGGGCTCTTGTGCACACTTTACGTGGTTGGCACC